GTGTGTGTGTGTGTGTGTGTGTGTGTGTGTGTGTGTGATCAGAGCCTGAGTACAAACTAATAATTCATCCATTTTCAGAAAACAACCACAGATTGCCTAAATATTAAATATTAATCAAGAACCTAACAATCCTTGATAGAATACAAATTATCACTGGAGTTTTACCGTTTTTTTCTCAATTGCCAAAATAGAGTTCTTGAAACCAACCCGCCGTTCCTCCAAACTGTAAACACAAAACCTTTGACTCTTCCTGCAAAACCAACCTGTTGGTTTCTATAACCTAAAACACTACAGAGCAGTCATTACACAAAATATAGAAGAAAAGAATAACATAATGATCCGGGGTCGGATTTATAACAATTGCGTACGCAAAAATCAGCCCAGAAACTTGCGTACGCCACTTTTTACACCAAGGTTGTGATTTATAAAATCCAAACTTGATGTGAAAATGTGCGGTGCCTCACGCCAGCTCTGACCCAAGCGTACGCTCATTTTGGAGACAGGAAACTGCGACACAGATGGTGAAGTGAAGAATTAGAGCCACACTGTGTCATGATCACTGTCAGATATTTAATTTACCTTCATAATCAGACTTAGATTTTTATTCAACTTTATCATCAGTTTTCTTAACAGTAGGAATGCATGATATAAACGATATACAGTAGAAACGATATTAATTTGTCCTATGATAGAGATCTGTAGTCTACCGGCCAACTGCGCAATTCTTTTTGACGATGTAACCAGCTGGAGTCAAAACAGAGGAAGCGGGAAGCAGCGTGGCTGAGAACGCAAATGAAGAGGGGAAAAAAACTTATCCGGACCTGGTTCAGGTGTGTGAAAATAAACGCCAAACTGTTTAAATGTTTACATGACGGGGCATGCTCCGGTCGGATGCCAACCGACTGACCGACCGACCACACTGCCTGCTGCGGGAGGAGCGCGCGCCGCGGAACATGACGCAGCAAGGCGACTGTCAGTGCAGGTGAAGTAGTGCTCCAGGACGCACAAAAGCTCGCTGAGTCTGGACCTCGTTACTCCTGCGGTCATAGGGCAACGACGCACGGCTGAATGCGCGCACACTTCGCACGTGCGTTCCAAAGCGCGACCATAACTCAGCCTTTACTGTCTCCTTGTACAGCGGGGAAGCGCTGTGGGAAAGTGTGACAGTCAGACTGTCTTTCAAAAAAAAAGTAAAGAATAAACGGGATGATTGTGTCACCCCGCTGGAGCGCGCACAGATTAAACAGGTGGAGTGCAGAAAAAATAGTCTGCAAAGTGTGTAGAAAGGAATAAATACAAACAATTTATTTTGCCACCTTAAAACAAAGCAGGTTATTCCAAACGCAGCATCCAATGGATGCAGATATCTATTACATTAAAGTTATTGTGTGTGTGTTAATACAATACAGTGGTTTGCAAAAGTATTCATACCCCTTGAACTTTTCCATATTTTGTCACATTACAACCACAAACATAAATATATTTCACTGGA